AATTACATACACACTCACACGTAAGAAATAAAAAGGAAGATAATTTGAAAGATAAATAAATGGAAGTGTTACAATTTAATTTATAGTGCAATTTATGTTTATTTTTCAATATTAATTAATACAAAGAATTTAAATTAATTACAGGTTCTAATAAATAGTAAAAACATTCCCTTTTGTGTTTATTGTGTTTTTAGGTTTCTTAATTGTAAAGTGGATGTAATGTAGGTGTGTGTGTAATAAAACAATTAAAACTCTAGTTTCAAGAACATACAACATAATATATAACTATAACATATAATATTTAACCAGTACATAATATAGTAACATATAAACATATATTCAAAAGTTAACATGTATAGAAAAAACATATATTAAACATATTAAGTGAATTTATGGATATACATAAGTATCACAAAGGTGATGTTCATGAAAGAAATGATTTATGCAAAGCGATTTTTTACACTATGCACAAGTAATTATTGCAGGTGAGCCACAAATATTACATGTCGATTTTAACTGATTTTTGAAACAATATTCTACTGGTGTTTCAAATTCTTCCGGTTTATTTTCCACATACCCGCTTACCATGCGTATTTATACCATGCGTATCAAAATAAATTTCTAAATCTAGGCGATGAAAACTGACCATGAGTTAATGATTGTAATTTTAAAATATATTGTTTCTTGCGTGAAGATTTATTTCTAGATCCAAAAGCATTACAATATCTGAAAAGTGTTTAATGAAATTTTTTCACAAACAAAAACCATATACATCTAATGGTTGTATGTTCCAGCCGGTATAATTAATAGAAAATTATAGTTTCTGTAGATTCTAATTTAGTTTCTTGTATAATATTTGGACAATGACCAGTCTATGAATCTAATAGTAAAACGGACTTTGGTCCTACGTTTGGAAAAAATACGTTTTGCAACCAAAATGATCTGACGTTAATTTCCCGGATTTCGAAGCTCTAACAAAAATATTAGGTGCCATGAACATTGTTTCTTGCACTCTAGGATCAAATGTTCCACTAACTTCTTTCAATACAATAAAAAGAGGCGATAATAACATACCATCGGCTGAAACAGTAGGTTATATAGTATAGCTATGCGTAATTGCCGTTTTAGATTGTACTACAGACTCAATTCTTTTTGTTCCTTTATATGCTAATGTACGACCGGCATGCAATTCTAACTGGAATCCGCTTTGATCATTGTTGTAAATATTTTTTGCTTCATATTGAGTTATTTGATATTTAACGTTTTCAATAAATGAATTACACTTTTCTTCAAGCTCGACGTTTGCTAGTATAGATTTTTTTGTTACAAATTTTGTTATTTTACGAGATACAATATTATGTATTACTTTGAATTTTTGTATCCAACGCATCGATGCTTTGAATCCCGGTACATTTAAATCTTCCTGTGCTCGAACAGCCCATCGAGCTAAATCAATGTTGTGAATAATTATTCCTTTTTNAAGAGCTATATTAAAATTATTTAATATATATTCTAAAATTTGTTTTAAGTTGTGGTATCTACTGGCATCTTCATTTACTTGAATTTCCCATCGTTGCCATTGACGTAATGAAGATACTTTCCGAAATCTTCGTTTAACTCCTTCCAATGTTTTTGGTCCAATTTTTCCACTTTTCCAATATTCCACTGCTTGTTTTCTATATTCATGCGGAATACGTTCATCTGTGGTACATACAAAGGAGTTAGTATATATTCTTCATCTTTGTGCTCTACATCTTGTAGCTCTACTTGTTCTGCTCCTGAAATATCATTATCATTGTCATAATCCAAAGATATTTCCTCCTCTATGTCACATCTTTCATCACGCATTTCTTGCAACATCACCTCTATTTTACGCGCCGTTTCTCGTTCTTCTGACGTTATTGGACTTGTAGGTAAATTTAAAGCAGTAAAAGTCACGTAAAGCAACATTATTACATTATATGGATTAAATTGAACTATTGTGAAAAATATGAATAAATACTAAATATTGTTTTAAACTTTATTTGTGTACAAGAAGAATAATACTTACTTTATAGTTTAGTAAATTTACTTGTGTTATTTTTTTTGTATTCATTAATTTATGAATTATTACTATTATGTTGCAGCT